AAAATATCTCATGAGAAGTTATATTTCACGTCTCTAAATTTTCAATACATTTTATAACGCTATGAAGTCTTTAAAAAAAACAAATTGTTAAAAATTTTTTCATTGAATTGTTATAATAACTGTTGGTTTTCTTTTTGTGGATTCAACAATTTGATGAATAAAATTGTGAAAGAATTTTATTCTTGTCAGACTTTTAAATTTACTTGCGTTGTTCAAAAATACAAGATTTTCAATAAGGTTTTAATACATCAAATTATCTTTGTGAAAGCAACTTCCAAAGTCTCTTAAGGGCACCCTCTTTTGTCGACCCCAAAAATTCACTTTTTCATTTTCGACTTATTCGTGTCTAAAAAAGACGTTTAAGCATTCTCTATCGAATGGCATACGAACGAAAAGTTTTCATTGTTATTTAGATCCTTTAAAAAACCGACATCAGTGATCCCCTGTACAAAAAAAACCATGTTCTACACCTCTTTCGTGTTGTAAATGATCTATACTAATATAGGTGTTTCGTTATCAAAATGTGTTGTATGGGTCAACAATGCATTCTTCTAGTAGCTTTGCCAGTGCATTAATTGATAACTAGGCATAAAAAAATGAAAAACACGAAATATCGAAAAAATGGCGTTTTTCGTGTTTTTTGTCCTTTTTCTTCCAAACACTTCGACCGATCGAGCTGAAATTTTTTGGATGACAACTAGGACCAAATCCGCGTGAATATATATTTTTAAAACAATGTTCTGGTAGTTTTCGAGCAGATCGTACAAAATTTGCCCTGGGAAAAAAACACGTTTTTTGACAGGACTTTCAGTATTTTAGTTTTTCTAAGCGAAGGAAACAATATTTTTCCAAGAAAAAAAACATATATTCCGATTTGGTCCTAGTTTCTACAAAAAACAAATTCAGTCATAAAAAATGAATTCTGGCTGTTTGCGAGGGAACTTCAGGACATTTTTGGCACTTGTATTCCTTATATTTCATAGAAGGAAGCATCTAGAAATTCTAAGTCTATGACAATTTTTATTCTACTAGTCGAGATCTATCTGCTTTGAAAGTTTCATCATTTTTGATTGAGCAGCTTTTGAGAAATCCGAGAAAGGTAGCCTTAAATCAATACGAAATAATATAAACTCTTCCAATATTTTATGCAGCTTTTCTGTTCCGAAAAGATGATTTAAAAGTTCGCGAGAGCGAACACCTATTTTTGGAAGTACACAAACCTAGTATGCGGTGCGATAACCACAAACTCTAGGAGGGCCAAACCGATCTTCTGGCAGGTACCGCTTCCACGCTTGATAAAACACTGAATTTCTTCCGTAATAGAACACCCCATTCTTAATTAATTGATTCCTCGAAAAATTGGAACTTCAATTCGAATATTTACATCAGAGAATGCCTAGTTTTCAGAGTTTCGAGCTGAAAATCTTAAAAGACTGTAGTCCGCGTTATTTCTAGAATCCGTCAGTGTAGTGTTGCTATGGGTTTCAGGCTGGCCGGTCCGATCCAGTTTGACCTACTCAAAATGGTACCAGCTCTACTTCTGTTGACCACAGTAGAAGACCACTTTAAAACTTTGTACATTTCAACTTAATAGAAGATCCAGGGTCTTCTATTGCAGGGGCGAAGTTTACATTTCATTAATCATTACATATCGATTAGACTTTTATTTTTGTGTAAAAATGCTATGAGCTCTTTTTTTTTTATATCATCTGAAAAAAGAAATCAGTTTTATCTTTTCTTTTGATTTATAACTATATGATTACAACCTTGAAGATATGATTATCTTTCAAAAAAAATATATTTTAATATTTGATACATATAAGCAAATATAAATAAATCATAGAATATTTTCTTTTTGATCAAATATAATTATAATTTCTGTTCTCACTTTGACAACGAAACTTAATAAAACAAAAAAAGCAAAAATGTCTTCGATTTTTTTTTTAATCTTTTGTTCTCATAATTTTTATTGATTAAATTAAATGAAATTCATTTATTTATTTATTTATTTTAAGCAGAACAAACAAATGTATGTGTACAAAAAAAAGAAGAGGAAGAAAGAGTAGATAAATCATTTATGATTTTTCTTATGAATCTATGTGTATTTTTATCCTCGAGAATGTGAGTGAAACGCATATACAAAAAAAAAAAAGAAAATGATCAATTGCACAAAAAAAAAACAAAAACTTATGTTATTCTTTTTTTTTTAGTATTTTTAGTTTTCTTCACTGTTATTTGATGTTAATTCGAATGAATATGTGATAAGAACAAAGAGAAATTAAGAAGATAAATCTATTGATTAATAGTAATAATTTTTCTGTTTCTTTGTTTTTTTTTTTTATAAAATAATACATTTTTTGTCTTTTTTCATTTTAGGAGATTTTAAGGGTCGTCCATTAGTTGTTGTTTCACGTGGTTCTCGTATTGGATTTTTAAATGGTCGTACAATACGCATTAATTCACAAAAAACCTATAAAAAAAGAAAAATATTATTTTATTTTATTTTAAAATATTTCTTTTTTTCTTCATTATACCTTATCAACATTATGTTTTGTCTTTGCTGATGTTTCAATATAACGAATTGACCAACTACGTGCTTTTTGTTCAGCTTCTTCAAGTGTAACTTTACGTCGTTCAGCTAAATCAATTTTATTTCCAACTAATATTGCCGGAATATTTGTTCCACCATTTTTAACACGTAAAATTTGTTCACTGAATCAGAAAACAAAACAAACAGTTTGTATTTTGTTTTTCATATGAAAATTTAAACTATATACTAAAGTTCATTTAGATCGCCAAATGATTCAGCATCAGTTACATCAAAAACAAGAAGAAAACCTTCACCACTACGAATATAAGTATCACGGATGGCTAAAAGAAAAGGAATAAAATGAAACATTCATTTTTTTTTTTGTTCTTGTCCTTGGAATATTTGCAAACAAACCAGCATAATTTTCTTGACCAGCAGTATCTAATATATCAATTTGAACTTCTTCACCATCAAGCATAACTGCTTTTCGATATGAATCAGCTTTTGTTGGTTCATAATCAACAACGAACTAAAAGATTTTTAAAAATCAATAAGAGAAAAAACTCCATAAATGATTAACACTTACTTCATCATACATATATTGAAGTGTTAAAGCTGATTTTCCTACACCACCACTTCCAACCTAAATAAAAGTATATATATTTTTTTTTCAATAAAAAAACTTATCTTATTTTTTTTTTCTTCTTACCATAATTAGTCGATAGACGGTTGTTGCTTTACTTGATGTTGCCATTATTTATAATAAAAATAAATCTAAAATACGATTTGTTTCTCGTACGGCATATATTCATTTCGCATATGTTTATTATTCGTCTATCTGTCAGAGAAATTATTAATACCAGATTAGAATAGAAAAAAGATACGTATCTGGTAGTTACTCATGGATATATAGCTGATGATTAATGGAAAATAGAAATTTTACTGATAGAAGGAAAAAAAAACGAGAGAACTTGAGAATACTCATAGTGTTACTTTACAATTTTTTTTGTCTGTGTGGAGAATGAAACAAGAAAAACAAATACGAAAAAATCTGAATTTCATTGGATGACCTTTAAATCAGTATGACGCATACGAGATGGTGTTAGTTCACAGAAATGATTAATGAAAAAAAAAATTTCGATTTTATTCCGAAAAGAAATTATTTAAAAAAAAAAAAGAAGAAATATAAGATTTTTTAAAAACTTAAATAAATTAGAATTATTTTGAATAGAGATTTTTCCATCACAAGAATGTAGTAAATGGCAGCGAATAGCTAAATGATGAAAAGATATTGTTTACTCTCGAACATATTTTTTTTCTTCTTAATGTTAGAATTTTTAAAATCTTAAGTCTTATATTTTCATAAAGAAAGGTAATATCAATATTGAATATTAGTATATTTTAAAAGTAAAGTCAATTTTTACTCAAGAATATGCTTGACAAAAAGCTTCAAAATACTCGACAATGTTTGTTTTTTTCATACAAATAGTATCGTTTGCAAACTTGAAAGTAATACATAATAAATGATATTGAAATATATTCTAGAATAGAACCTTTTTTTTTGAATCAAAAGTTGAGAAAATACAAATAGAACTATCGTTCATATTATCAAACATACGATTCGATGTGAAGGGACTGAAGCGGGTTAGTCTTTTCACTTTTTAAGTCGTGTCTGCAATTGACTTTGTTCCGATGTTCATTCTTACAGGCATAGGTATTGACAATTGTTCAAAATCCCTTCATCATATGTGTGAGAAGTTATGTTGATACTGAATTTGATTGAATGATTTGCTTTAATAGAAAGTATTTTTGACATGATCATTATGTAATATATCTTTGTGACTGAATCAAACTTCAAAAGTTTACTGAAGTTTCCTTCCTATAATTTTTTTTATTATTGTTAAAATACAATTTGCATCCTCTTGATATTACTATAAACAATCTTTCACGGATCAAAAAAAAACTAATACGACTTACCAGGGAATATTCCTAAGTGATCCGCTTCGTTTGTCCTGTCATATTTTGCCAGAAATCTGCTTAGAAGTCATAATATCGATCAAATCTACACATAAGCAGAAAATCTTTGGGAGTTATGCTACTCTAGTGACCTTCTAAATATCGGCAAACAGAGCCGATCACTTAGAAATGTTCCCTCGTTAGCGTAAGATTTCTGAGGCTCTGCTTTTTTTGTACGACTTTCGTCTGATGGTTTGACCAGGAAATTTATACGAGTGATGAAAAAAGTCAATAAAAAAATAACACCAGTTTATGTATCGTATGTTAAGTCTCATTCTTAAACTCTAGTTCTTTTGAATTTAATCACTAAATTCATACTTTTTTGTTATATAGAATGTTTTTCTAAAATAAATTTAGAAATCTAATTTGATCATCTTATTCAAAATACATTCATTTTTTTTTATTTCTAATACACCTTCGATTTTTTTTTCGTTGACCTCATTGTAGAAGAAAAATGTCTGCAAATATTATTGGCGAAAGACTGGTAGCACCTGTTCCACAAGCATTAGGTGCTCGAGAATTTATGATAGAAAGACTTATTCTCGTAAGTTTTAATCAAAATAATTATTTTGATTTTTGTTTTTATTTATTTTCTATAGAGAGATAATACACGTGAACTATTACGACAAACTGGTCGAGAAGAAGAAATTGAAAATGATTTACTTGAATTAACTGAATGTGAATGTGGAATGAATGTTTACGATCCAATGAAATGTAAATGTCGAGCTTGTGAAGGACATTTTCTCCTGGCACAATTTTTTTATGATACAGAACAATATGATAAAGCATGGAGATGGTATTCAAAAATTCAAAATGTCGATCTACGAGGTAGATCTTTCGTTTCTTTGTTTTTTCATTGGACTAAATTCTCTTTTTTCTTCTATCTATAGCTTTGTATCAACTTGCTGTAATGTGTTTTGAAGGATTAGCACCAAAAGATTTTACTGCGGTTTGATGAAATTTTATATAGAGTAATTGACATTTTATTTATCATTTTTTTTTAAAGGAAAATGCTTATCAAATGATGCTTCAAATAACATTAAAAGAAAAAGATCCACATAATTTTGTAATACCTTATGCAGAATTTCATTTAGGTAAAGCTTTTTTTCAAGGTTATGGTGTACAACAATCCGATGAAAAAGCTGAAAAGTAATTAAAATACAATAGTGGACAAAAATCTCCTATCACACATAACTCAGCTATTATACATACTGAAGGTCTGAAACACGAGCTTACCTCTATTGTTTAAATCTGTCTCACTTATTTACCTTTTTAACTTTACAACTAGGAAAAAGAAGAACTTTGTGAATCGGTCCATTCTTCATTATTTAGTGGTTTGTTTCGGTTATCTATCGTAATAATTTCATCAACGCTTCCTAGAGCTGTAGCCATTTTTTCATGACTATTCTAGTGAAGAACAAAGTTGTTTGTTGGGTTTTGAAGATTATAAATCAGTAATAATTCAGTGGATCGAGCTTTGTCTGTTGTTAAGGTTTCATGATACGACCTGTCACTAAATGAAAACCATGCCCGATTAATCATCATGCTAGTACAGGGGGCTCATAGACAGCAATCCTCAATTAAACTACCTGATATCTCGACTAAAAGAAAGAGCATACGCTGGACTCTAGTTGCATGCTAAAATATCAAGAATTAGTCATGTATTTGATGACAGATAGCGAAAAATTTAATAGACAATTTTTTTTTTAGGCTAAAAGCTTGAAGCAAAGATAAGCGCTCTTCATCATAATTCTCATTGTATTTAAGCGATTGGGGCAATCTCCTCGTGCTTCTGAACTAAATTCTTAGTACAGTATGTGTTCACAAATTTTTAGATTTTGAGTATGTTATAATAGCCGAAATACGAGATGTGAAAGACTTTTATCTACTATTATAAAACAAATATATCGATTTGTTTAAAATTTCTAAACTTAGTTGGTGGCTATTAGCAGCTCGTGATGATATACATAAACCAGTAGTAGAAGCTCAAACAGCTCTTGCGTTTTTTTATTCACGAAAAAATACAGATTTTTATAATTTAAACAAAGCTGTATATTGGCATCATCAAGCAGCAAGAAATGGATCTCTTGAAAGTCTTGGTAAAATAATTAATAATTTTGAAATATTTTTAAAAGACTAATTACATATATATATATATTATAGGAGCTATAGGTGCAATGCATTTATTTGGTATTGGTACAAATAAAGATATTAATCAAGCTATTGATCGTTTACGACAAGCATCCGAACGAGGCAATATTTATGTGAATTTCAATATTAAAAAAAAAATACATTCCATAGAAAAGATTAAAATTAATTTGTTTAGGCTATGGGTCTTCTTGTTTATGCTTATTATACAAGAAAATTATTTACAAAAGCAACAGATTTAGCAAAAAGGTAGTTTAATACAAAAAGAAGCATAGAATAAGAAGGCTCTTTTTGCTTATGTATATAGAGTATCTGTTTTGGATAATATTGATGAATTATCACGAGCATCATATTGTTTACCACAATATATTCAAAAAGGTATTGCTATATCAACATTTATTCTTGGTCGATGTTATGAACTTGGTCATGGAATTAAAAAAGATCCTAATCAAGCTATAATAATGTATAAAAAGGTAGAAATTGATATAATTTATAATGAATTTATTCAATATGTTATTTGATATAGAGTTTTCAATATGATGCTGATTCATGTCAATTATTACAAGATTATTTAACACATGAAAAGATTTAAATATGTATGGTGCCTTTTCATGAAAATTAAATTTTCGACAAAACAAAAAAAATAACATGTGAAAATTGACGATTTTTTTTCGGAATATAATTGTTTCATTTTATTTTTATACAATGAATAATTAAAAGAATAAAATTAGTTTTTTTTTCTAAGTTTGAATGTGACTCATCTATTATATATATCATAATGAATAACTACCTTTTCTTTTGCATGTTATCTTTTCGTTATCTAATATATTTCATACAAAAAAAAAAGAACGAAATATATGACAAGATGCATCGAAAAAATAAAATTTTACAATTTAGGAAGAAAAGCTTAATTTTTATATGTAAATCTTTTATTTTTTGTTAAAAAAAAAGACAAAATTTGATTTGACCAATTTTTGATGCTACGAACATGATCAATTTTTGATACGCAGTGAATTTCTTTTGTTATCTAAGTGATTTAAAGAATCGTAATTTTTAATTTTATGCTATTTGCATTTTATTAGCGATGGTATCCTATACATAATAATCTAAAACATTAAGATCAGAATCATTTGTTGGTTATCTGTAATGACCCACCGATTGATTTACATATTATTGAGAAATCAAAACTTTGATTTAACTATTGAATGAGTATGTGAAAAATTATTTTACTCTTTGAAGATAATAATTCCATTGCAAAAAAATTTAATAAAGAAAATATAAAAACAAGTGTTAATATTCTCACACCAAAAGATGGCAAATATAGTACTAAAGGTGCCCTAATTTATTGAAAAAGATTATCGTTCTCTCAGTACAAAGCCTTTAAATAGGTTCGCTATGCAAAAATACGAATAAATCAAAAATACAATAGTCTAATTAATTAATAAGCTAAGATGTACATAACGCAAAATTTCAATGGATTTGATTTTTCATTGATTTCGAGATAGTTTGATATACATTTTATTTCAATTAGGTTGCCTTTTCGTTGCAAAAAGCTTCAAATACTGATGCTATTACAGATATGATCAAAATCACTTTTTTCACAGATCAATCCCTTTAACTTTTTGAAAATAGTTCGTTGTTCTACTTCAGAATCAAAAACTGAGTGGAAAAACATTGTTTTTCTTAGATTTAAAATAAGTAACGTAAAAGAACTACTTTCAACATATGTAGACACTTTTGTAAACCTATCTATTTTTTTTGTGATGAGAGAGAGGAGAAGATGAAAGGTCCTATCTCATTTGAATCAGCCTGTTTTGAGCTACAAAAGTACTCATGTAATTAGTTTTTTTTTTCAGATTTTGTTTTATTGTCGAGAAAATTGAATATTTCATAGTTTTGATAGTAAAAGAGCCACATGATGGCTTTGCTAATTGCAGTTTTTATTATCAAAACTGAGTTAAAAAAATAAAATAAACAATATATTAAGAATCAGCATGGAAATCTATGTCGAACCACATACATTTTAGCAAACTCCATTTCAAATAGAAAATCACTTCTGCTAGAGGACCACAAGCAAAATTTCAGAAGAAAAATACTGACGCGGGGTACAAATACGTTTTCCGTAGGAAATTAATTTTGCTTAGATATATGTAGCCCGATATAGATTCCCACGCTGATTTTCAATATACTGTCTATTTTATTTTTTAACTCAGTTTTGATAAATTACAAAAGTGTCTACACATATATTGAAAGTGGTTCTTCTACGTTACTTATTTTAAATCTAAGAAAAAAAAAACTGTTTTTGTACTCAGTTTTTGATGATGAATTAGATACAAGAACTACTTTCAGAGCGTGAAGAGTTGATTTGTAAAAACAGTGATTTTGATCGTATCTGTAGTCCAATCAGTATTTGGAGCTTTTTGTAACGAAAAGAAAACCTTATTGAAACAAACAGATATATATTCGTAATGATCTCTATCGAACCATCAATAAAAAAATCAAATCCATTGAAACTTTGCATTATTTTCGTGTTACGAGACTCAACGACTTTTCAAACTACATTGAAATGCGTCAATATAATCAAATACTATTACATTTACAACTATAAAGCTATCAGAAACGAAAATAAAACAAAGAGAAAAATCGTTTTCAAGGATTGACGTTGATATAAATGTAATGTACATTAATAAACATAAAGCGGTTTTGTTTGAATTTCTTTTTTTTTTCATTTTTCATTCGTTTTAATCAATTATTTTATTTGATTTAAATTCCATTCAAAAACCTATTACTACCTTGAACAAGAATGAAATTAGATATTATCTTTAAATTCATCCAGATAAAACATACTCTAATTTATTTATGAATTTTAATGAAATATTGTCATAGAATATGTATTTATTCAAAACATGAAAAGTGTTTAATATTATCAAAAAAAAACGATCTGAAAAATTTCTTCAGAAAGTCTTCAATGAGAATATATTCTGAAAAAAATAGATAGACTTAATATTTTTAACATATACATATATACGTTTTGAATTGGTCTTGTTTACTAAAATAGAAATTCAAGTATAGTGAAGACAGTCTCATCGTTAGATTCTTCGAAAATGCATTTTTCGTTCCATTTTCATTTATTTTTTCAAGCTTATTTTAATATAGTAACAAGCTATCACAAAAGTAAGTATATATTTTGAAAGTACGTGAAATTCTCAGTTTTGACTTTCAATTATTTGATGACAAATATTTCTAATATTGCTGATGTAGCATTACTCTGACATCTTCACTCTCGTCTATTCCACATAATTCAGACAACAGCTTATGAATGGTTATCTAGTAATCAAATGAGATTTATAGATAATCATTCACCAATCAGCCCTGATTTTAATATTATTGCGAGTTTTTTTTTTTTGTCTAGAATGAATCACTATGTATAGAAATATCGTCCATATTCTCAACAAAACTTGACGAAGAAATGTAATATGTGAGTACATTAACAATATTCGAAATATTTGTCATCGAATTGTTGAAAGTCAAGACTGGTAAAAGTACAGAGTGATAGAGAATTTCAGGTGCTTTCAGAATATATACTTACTTTGATAATAACTTGTTCCTATATTTAAAAAAATTTGAAACAATAAATGAGAACGGAACAAAAAATGCATTTTCGAAGAGTCTAACGATGAAAGTGCCTTTCACTGTACTTGAGTTTCTATTTTCGCGAACAAGTGCAATTCAAAACGTACATATGTAGAGTTGTAGAGAATTCGACGTGCTATAAGAATACATATAATTACGTTTCTAAGAATTTTAATTTATAGTAAATATATATTAAAAATATTAAGTCTAACTATTTTTTTTTCCGAGGGAATATATTTTTTTTAAAAATATTCTTTATTGTGAGAATAAAATGATGCTCCCACAGATATTTTCACGTGATGTCAATTTAATAATGAAAAACGCAATCGAAATCAAACTGACAAAATTCCCATTACCTATCGTATACTTCATCATATTGATAAATTAGATGATAGCATAAAAAAACCAGATTTATCTAGAAATACTATACTATAATGAATTATTTTTTTGTTCGATAGTTCATTAGTTTAATGTAAAAAAAAGTTTTCAATTTAATTTTGAAGTAGTTCAATGGAGTATGACATTAAATAATTCTTGCATTCAAGAAGAAAATATCAATAGAAACGTTTAATTCTTATTTTCACATACCTATGTTTCATACTCTATGAAACATCGATTTTTACAAACAGTTAATATTCAGATAACAAAATATTTATTAATTTAGATAAGAAAAATATTGCATAATGTAGGTGGTTTTTTTTAACTATAATATTAACACATGATATTGGATAAAATTTCATTTAAAAAAAAACAAAAGAATTATTTTTATTCATCAAATAATTAAATGAGAAAAAAAATGAGAAAGATAATTACACTTGATCTTTCTTATAAATAACTCCTGTGATGATCAATCATTCAAATCTTATAAGAAGTAGTAAAATCTATTGATTCTATACATACAAAAGAATATTTACTTGATCACAGATTATCCAATTAATAAATAGAATTCTTTAGACAATATAATAAATCAATATTCTCTGAAGAATTCATATATAATAATGGTTATGACAACTAAATGCTTATTAGACAATAATTATTATTTCATTTATACACTATGTTGATGATTTTCATTGACGTTTTTTTTTTATCATTATCATTTATCTGTATTTGTCCAAATATCCTCTTGTGGTCTCGAAACCTATCGATATTGTTAAATTTAAGACAATAATAAAAATGTAGGCGTTTGTGAATAAAAAAAAATATTTTGAGAACTAGCACAGCTGTTCGATTCATATTATATAAGGAGAATTATTTTGGTCGTACGAATTGATAAAATAAGGCCATCATATTCACGGCACACATAATAATCATGTTATCAAAAATTTCAATTATTATTTTTCTATGCTTCATTGCATATGCATCATCGCAAACCATTACTAAACTAACCTATACTGATTGTGGTATGTAAAATACAAATAAAATTTCAATTCATTTTAATATAATATAATTAGGATCAAAGAATGTTCAAATCAGTCGACTTTCGCTTACACCCATGCCTATTGTTCAACCAGGAAAAGGAACACTTTCGTTTGCAATTGCAGCTAGTGAGCCAATTCAGGGTGTCATTAAAATGACTCTTGACATAGTTCGTAAAGTTAGTGGTATTCCATTGCCTGTTAGATGTTATATTGTTCAAGGTGAACAAGTTGGCTCATGGTTAGTACTTGATTTCGATTTCATTATTTTTTACTCCTTTTATTTCACAGCACGTATCCGGATATGTGTGCTTTAATGCAACGACTTTTTAAACATGACGCAACGAATTGCCCAGCGCAACTTAGTCCATATGGTATTGATTGTACTTGCCCAGTAAAAGTCAACAAAAATGATCTTGATATTGAAATGGATCTTGATATACCTGAAGCACCAGAGTAAATATTTTATTTTTGTTTTTATTTTATATTTATTTATCGATTTATCCTTTTAAGATATGCATCATGGTTAAGTGTTGGTGACTTTTACGTTAAGGTTAAAGCAACTGTTGGTAAAATTGATGGTTGCTATGACTTAACGTTTGCAGTTAAACCTGCCCCAAAATTTTAAAACAATAAAGATGATTCACAGTTCTGTTCCTTATTCATATATATGCGTGTGTGTGTGTGTACGTGTTTATGTTTATTATAAGCAAAGAAAAAGGATTATTATTTGTATTGTTGAATGAATTAATGAAAGGAATAAAACATGAAAAGTGATGATTGAACACACACAGATAAATGTTTATATGTTGTCAAAAAAGAAAAAAAAAGATACGCAGAGAACTTGTTTGAGTATATCCATTTGCAACTTCTCGTGCAAGAATTAATGAATAGTCGTTTATCCATGAGAAAACGAGAAAGAAAAGCATGCACGAATGATGACGATTACTATATGTATTATACGGTTATTCTTACTAGGTTGGTCTGAAGGAAAGAAACAAATTCATACCGATGTACAGAAAATAGATGATGTTAATGACGATAAAACATATATATCTTCCTTGAGCTTGATATTAAGCATATATAGAACGAAGAGATAAACGAGCGATATAAATAAAAGAGAAGAGAAAAAAAGAAGCAGTACAAGTAGAGAAAAAGAAGAATATTTCATACTAATAAGATAAACGACAATTTCTATGTGTATATCTGTGCCTGTCGATCATATAGCGTATTTGTATATATATACATATATATCAAAGGGTTCATTCTATCAGTTTTTTCTTCGATATACTCAACCATATCACACTGATTACTAACGATCTTCATATTTGTAGATGCATTTTTCCTATATTTATCTTTCAATAGTCTTTCTTCTTTTTTCATCTTCATGGAGTTATGTTGTTGACGAACATGATGGTAAATGGTCATGGATTAATGCAAAGTATTTAACACGATCTAATTGGACATCATCATTAAAAGCGAATAATAATGCTTCTAAAATACATCATCCCGTATGGTTTATTTATCATTATCTTAGTTATTGTGGATTTTGTAAAAGATATAAACCACAATGGGAATCTATTGCTCAATATGCAGCAGGTAAAAAATTTTTCAATGAGACAACAAAAACAAAACGAAAGAAAGAAATTTGTTTGTTTAATTTTAGGTTGGTCAAGATATATTAAAATAGGTGCATATGATTGTGGTAGTGAATCGGCATCAGAACATGATATTTGTGTAGATGAAGCATATCCTCAATGGCGAATATATTGTCCATTAACAAATTCGACTCAATTAGCATTTGATTCAGAACGACGAAATGCAGATACGAAACCAGAAGATATTTTAATGTGGTCAATAAAAAAAATGAATAAAATTGCACATCAATGTTATGGAAAAACATGGCCAATTCGTAATGTAATTGAGTAAATATTTCTTCTTCTTGTTTTACTGTTTATTAGAACAAGCAGCTATAAAAAAATCTTTCTTTTTTAGACCAAAGAATATCGATGATTTAAATAATATAATTCCAAAACGTGTAAAACAATTTCAATTATTCGTTTCAGATGATATTCTACTTTATAGTCTAGTAAATATTTTTATACAGATTTTATTTTTCATTTAAATAAATAATTCATTTTTTTCTCTTTTTAGTATGTATTAAATAATTCAAAAATTGTTTTTCAAGAACCAATTTATCGTTTGTCTACAAAAAATTTAATTACACAAGGTATTGGTATTTGGAAAGGAATGAAAAATCCTGACGGACGAATTTCACTTGAACAGTTAATTGAAAAATATTCATTTGAAAATTTATTTATAATCTTATTTTTTTAGAATTAATTCAACAAAAACAACAGACAAATTTATATTAAATAAAAATATTATTTCTCATACTAATAAATCTATAGAGTAAGGATATATGAATATTTCAATAATATACATTTGTTTTTTTTTAGAAAAAAAATCGGTTCTCTAAAACCGACCTTAACTGATATTGATAGTTCTGTTGTTTGGATGATTAAAAAAGATCTTCATAGAAAACTACCAAACTTATTTGATGATGTTAAAGCTTGGCTTAATGTAGTTCATACGGTAAAAATGAAAATTTTATAGAAAAATAGGCAACAGAAAAAAATTTTTTTCTTTTCAATAGTATTATCCCGGTAGTGATACCATGCATAATTTTCTTCGTGATTTAATTCATTTTATGAATAATCGTACAACATTATCATCAAATGAACTTAAAAATTATATTGATACAATATCGGTAATTTTATTTTATTTATAATGTCGACAAAATCGAGGACTAGTAGAAATCTATAAGGATTCATCTTTCCCAAGTTATTACAATTTTACTGCATTGTTTATCTTTAGTAAGGTGTTTGTGAAACAATCGAATTAGGAAATTTCAATCGGAAGTTTTGTTCATAAATAATTAGGTCTTGTGGGTCTTAGAATATCCTGAGAGTTTCAGTTTGCAGAGATGTATTCTTCTTGAGATATTGAATATTCAAAAACAATCAAGTATCATAGGAAAAGGTAAAAAAGCTAAATGTTTTCAATAATCACTATCCCGGGAACAATACATTCCTTCAGGCTGAAATTTTCACAGTATTCTATGGTTCATGAGATCTCTCTATCAGCAAAATTTCAGGTTGAAATTTCCTAATTCGATTGTTTCACAAATATCTTGCTAGAGATAAAACAAAAAAGAATTGTAATAACTTGAGAAAGATGGACTCTTATAGGCATTTACCAGTGTTTCTTTGGGAGCTTACTTATTAGCAAAATATCAGTTTGATTGATGATTTACACTTGGAGACCTTTCCTTGTCAATCAAGAGAAGGCAAATTCAGATATGATTTATATGTCTAATCGTTTTGATTAATGTGGAATGCTAAAAATGTTTTCGATATTAACAAGAAAGATTAAGATATATTTTTATAAGAAGTTATGAAGTATTTTATTATCCTATCGATGCTAATGAATTTATTTTACAAAAAAAAGAAAGCAAAATTCATCATGATTCGTTCGAAAAAAAGAATACGCATTTTTATTTTCAATTGATTTTCATATACGTATTTTTCCAATATTAAAATTTGAATGTATAAAGTTTTGTTAAACATCTTCAATTAGTTATTTTTGTCAAGATTTTATTTCATAATTTAGTCATTGGAAAAAAATCGACATATACATATGTAAAGGGTGACCCATAATAAATGGTCACACATTGCATTTCATATTTTAATCTCTAAATACGCTTTATTTAAAAACAAAATGAAATGTATCACAAGATGTAGCATGAAAAGCTCTACAATTTACAAAGTAAAGCTTCTTTTAGTTACATACTGTTTGTTTTTAAAATAAGCAAAATTCTGTTCGACTAATTTTCGATGTTGCGAACAAGATCATTTTTTTTTGAGACGACGAATTCCTTTTTTCTTATTTCATCAATTAATGAATCATCATTGTTAAATTGATCCCATTGCATATTATTGTTAATAGAATTTCAAACGTAATAGTCGAGGACATTGAGATCAGAACTATTTGGTGATCACTTATGATTGTACATAAGATCCATGAAGTTTTCTTTACACTATGCTACTTGTTCTTTATATGTGTGTGATGTGGTTATATATATCGACTATTTCAAACAAAACGAAACATGCCTACCTTTCATTTGACTTTGATTCTTTATAAGGCTTATTTTTTTTGAATAGATTCTTTTAGTATAGACTTATGTGAAGATATTAGCTCTATGAGCTTGATCATAACGTGAACCTAATGTAATTACTCATAATGTATATTCTTTCAACACATTTGCGTAAAAGTAAATGTCAAACAAATGGAGCCTTTCATGTTATCATATGTTTGCGGCCTATGTTAGACCTCGACCTTAAGAAATAAGAATGAACTTGGTGCAAAGCCACTCTATTTTGCAGATGTGTATCTCTTGTCGGTAACTGAAGGGTTAATTGATTAATTAAGAGTAATTAGTAAATATTTCTCTAAGCATACGAGAAAAAGATCCAAAAACTTTAGAATAGATTCTACGGTATGAACTGCTTCGTTGATGAAATTTTCAGCAAGATTAGACTCCAAAAAAAAAATTCTTCTTAAAACCCGATTTTCTAGAGATCCTATCAAGTCTTGAAACAAAACTTTTCATCCTACCATTATCTAGAGATTCTGAAGAAGAATTTGTACCGTTCGGAATTGGTTTTGAATTTCTCATTCGTGTATAAGAGTATTTTTTTCATTGGTATATTCGTACTTCATCACATCGCGAAGGAAAACTAGTTCGACCTTTCTTTGAAAAATCTAAACATACTCAGAAAAAACTTTGGATAGAGATTCTGCAGCCTCAAGTTCAATTCGAAGATATTTTTTCAATTAAGATAAATGAAGTGAAAGTTGATATTCTTTTTTTTTTGTATCACTTCAGTTACACTAGTTTTTACTGATAACTTCTCTGAACAAAAGTCTCTAGGACTGATTTTTTTTAGAATGTCTAGTATAACTTAACACACATATAACATATAAAGATTAGCTCTAGGAAAGTTAATCATCTTGAGATACATGTGTTTTAATTATGCTAAGTCATGTCGCTAACGAATAATTTTGCTCCTGTGTTCTATGAAAAAGAAAATTTTCTATTGTTTAGAATCATATTCGGATAATAGTTGAATTTCAAACATGAAGAATATTTTAATTCTTAATTTATTCTAATAGGTAATCAAATTACCAGAAGTAAAATTCGATCACTGTAATGGATCTGATACAAGTAAACGTGGTTATACATGTTCATTATGGCTTTTATTTCATAGTATGATTGTTAAACAGGCAATACTTCATGAACAAAATCTATGTAAATTCATAAGAAAAATAAATTAAATATATATATTTCCTTTTAACTTTAACTTTTTTAATTAGTACCATCAAATGTTAAACCATCAGATATGATCTTATCAATACGAGAATATGTTCGTAGATTTTTTCTTTGTGATGAATGTGCTAAGCACTTTCTTAATATGACATCAAATGCAGAAAATGAAATAAATTCTTTTAAAGAAAATGTTTTATATCTTTGGCGAGGTACTTAATATATTAGATTTGTTTTTGAATAATTCTAAATAATTTTATTATATAGGTCATAATAAAGTAAATAAAAGACTTCGAGGTGAACAAATATCAAATGATCCAGCTTGGCCCAAAGTACCATTTCCAACAAAGGAACAATGTAATTCATGTGTTCGTGAAATAGATGAAAATAATGATGCTTTAGAATATGATGAAAATGAAACATACAATTATTTAAAAGATTATTATGATTTACAAAATATTACTAATCAAAAAAATTTATCTACTAAAACAAATACAGCAACAAATCGACAATATAATCATTTATTATTATTTCTATTTACATTTTTTATCATTAATTGAATGAATACCAAGGTTCAACTTAGAATAGAGTTTTGATTTCATCTATGATCTGCTACTATCTATCAATTATATGTTACGTGTTTTTTTTTTCTGTTTATTTATTTTGAATTTCAAATAAATAAACTAAAGATTTTCACGATTAAATATAAATTATTTTGTATAAATTTCGAATAATATTCTTCCTCATTCATCTCAGCTTTTGAATTATATTAATAGACAAAGAAAACAAACAGAAAGCATATCGTTGGATAAGATTGTAAATCTGTCATCGCCTCAGGATTTACTTTCAATAGGTTAGAAAGATGAACATGAAATTCTGCATCATATTTTTGTATATTTATTTTTCGTTTTGTTGAATGTAAAAAAAGAAGACGTTCTAGGACAAAATAGTCTTAGCGAAGTCTATCACTTTTGTGGGCTCCAAATAATAACTATGATACTCGTGATTTTTTTATTATAAACCAAATACGAAAATTAATAACCTAGATCGATGCAGCTTTTCATGCTCGGTCAATTAACATATCGATCGTGTTTATCAATTAGTTTATGCAGGGTCAAATAGGCACGATATCATATTTATCTGACCCTGCATAAAATAATTGATGAACATGATCGATATGTCAATTGATAAAGTATGAAAAACTGCATCCATTTACGCTATTAGTGTTTATATTTGATTTATAATAGAAAAATTACGAGTACCATAGTTATTATTCGAAAGGTTCAAAAGTGTTAGACCTCGCTAAGACTATTTAGTCTTCGAAAATCCCTTTTTTCTGCATTCAGCAAAAACCAAAAATAAATACACAGAAATATTATGCAGAATTTCATGCTCGATCTTTCTATCCTATTGAATGAAAGTGAGATATAAGGGAATGACAAATTTATGATTTTGTCTTTCAGTGTCTTTTCACACATCAGTATCAATTTCATAGATATATGAAAATAAAACTTGATAATCACGAACGCTATATAGATTTTTATTTTTATTTTTCTAAAACTAAAATATTCATCAGCATTTCGAAATCTGATTCATTTTGTTGCAAACAACAATACGTATTAAACATATGTAATTCTATAATCGTTGAGCGTATTCTCTCCCTCTGTACTCAATTTGTTATTTTATCCAAATACAAAATTATAGTTTGTTACTTCAGAATAAATGTTTTCGAAAATATATATATAACACATAAATAGCTCAAACTTCTATCACGACGCACTTATAGTAACACGCGCCAACGTGTCATCAATAAAAACACAAAAAAAAACGAAAGAATAAGCTAAGCTACACTATACTTCATATGATTTATTTAATGCAAATATTGTCATACTGACCTTGGCAATGCATAATAATAATAATAATAATACTGAAGAACTTATTACATATCTTCTTCAATATGGAATATCTAACAGAATGATTGCCATTGTTGAAAGTAAATATTATATTACATTTATGTGCTTTTCCTTTTTATTTTTTAAATAGAACAACATATCTATGATGAAGATTTACTGATAATGGATCGTGATGACGTCGAACATTTATTTAAAAATGAGTATGGTTTTACATTTCGTGATCGTAAACAATTTTGGAAAATATTACAAAAAATTGTAGACAATCAAATATATTCATTTAAATAATAGTTATTTTTTTTTTTGTTTTCTTATTTTAGCAATCAAATCAAAATTCTAATGTAGAACATGAACAAATTATTCATTCATCGGTATAAAATTTTCTTTTATTTATATTGATAAAGAAATCATTTTTTCAAAAGGCAATTCTTGAACATATCTACGGATTTGCGGATGAAGACAATGACAATAATGATTTAGAAGAACAACAATCTATTACATCTCCATCACCAAATACAAATCGACAATCAACTATTATTAATTTTTTTGATAATAAAACATCGAATGATAATAGTAACAATTCAAATTCTTCATCATATATTTCAGAATTATCATTATCATCTGATTATGTATTTACATATCCAAGTTTATTACCATGTTTTTCTGCTAATATTATAGAAGCACTTAAAACAAATACAATTCACACACATTGGACACTTTTTATTAATGAACTTGCTCGTTGGGTTATGTCAATAAAACCATATCTTCGTGAACAACATGAATATCAAGCTATTGGACAAACATTATATGAAAAATATCCTAGTATAGGTACAACTGGTCCAAAACCTTGGTCATTTTTATGTCGAAGTCTTAGTCAACGAATTCGAACAGAAAGATGGCAAAGACGAAAGACACTTGCAGCAAGAAAACAAAAAGAAAATGAAATACAAGAAAATTGATCGAAATTATGACAACATATGATTGAAAATTCTTTGTTGTTTGTTCCTTTTTTTGAATTATACAAAGCCTTTTTGTTGAGCTAATACATCATCTTTAGCATATTAATTAAAGGTTTATTTTTCGAAATTTTCAAAAGTCTTGATATAGTCTTGATAATAATCAGATGTGAATGAGTCTGTATTTATAACGCGTACATAAGATAAATCAATTATAAAGTTTTCTAAAAATTGCAAAAGAAATTGGGCAACTTAAATTATTATTCTAACATAGAAACTACTCAAATTGATATCCATCGTTTGAGGTCATATTGAGCCTACAAAGAGATCTTGGTAACACTAGAAAAAACATAAAAAAGTTTGTATCCATAAATCTTTAGCATCGAATTAGAATTATTTTATTGAATTTTCAATCTGGACTTAGGTACATTCCGAAAAATCAAAAAGTAGAATTTTGATACGAAATTTTATCCATATATAGATCAAATGATACATTAAATATCTGAAAAATTTCAGTTAAAAACAATGTTCTTTTGTCGAGATATCTAATTTCCAGAAAATAATTGTTTGTCATAGGTATGATAAAAAAATTGGTCCGTATGGTCTTCGACAAAACTCGATAATTTGCATTTTCGCGAACTATTGTTTCGACGATCTTTATTTCAATGACCAAAATTATCTACGATATGCTGATATGACATCTGCAGTATATATACATAGGATAGTGAAAAAGTTTGTACATTTGTAAATATTAATTCATACAAAAAATATTTTGGTAATCTATTTACAGCAAATGTTCGAAGGAGTTCCCATGATATTCATTGAATCCATTTCTAGAATGTCTTTTGGTATTCGTGAACAGGTATTGAATTGTGTTCCTTGACTATTGCTTAAGCCAAACTTGTAGCATCTGCATATGTATCAAGTTTACTTTTCAAGCAACCAAACAACTAGAAATCTGAAGAAGGCAAGGTCAGGAAAATATGGTGGACAAGCCATAAATTTGATTTTTTTTCTTGCAGATAATTGAAAAGAATATCGTTCACATGTAATCGGACATTATCATGATGCGACTTGATACCGTTTGTTGTTGGTGATGGTCTTTGTTTGTGTAACTGTTTAACTGATCTTTTTAAATATTCATCATGATAATATATGACATTTATTGATGTTCCAGAGGTAATGCATGAATAAGTAATGGTCTAAATATCATAAAAAACTTGCAAACAATGTTTTTTCTTTGAATGATTGTTTTCTCATGAGTGGTGGAAGACCTTCTTCTTTTGCTATCCATGTACGAGAGTATTCCTATGATTTAACTTTGCGATTATAAATTCAAGTTTCATCTCCAGTAACTATATCATGCAATCTTCAGGTATTACTTTCAAACTTCTGTAAATTTTCAATACAAATATTAATATGTCGTTATCGTTGTTTTTAAGTTATATCATCCATCTTGACGATATTTTTTGGTAGGCCAAGGTGTTGTTTGAGAATAGTATATACACTACCATATGATATATCTAAGATGATAGCAATATAATCAATACTAACATGTGAATTATCATTCATCAAATATTTAATAGCATCGATATTGTCTTGAGTAATGACGGTTATTAGATGACCATTTCAAGGATCATCTCCCAACAACTCTCGTCTACTTGGAAATCAATGAATCCAATCAGCAATTGTATAAAATGAGACATAACCTTGTCCCCATAAGCAGTAGTTAATTCATCATGAATTTGTGTTGTAGTATGACCTAATAGCAAACAAGTTTTTATATATGACCGTATGAGCAGTTTTGTCATTTAAAAATAGAGGTGGCAAGACAAATTCGTTAAGAATTTGTTACTATAGACACTTGAAAAACTTCGTATTGGTAATGTAATATACAATAGATGTTTATAGTAGAATAGGTCAATATTAGGAATAAAAACAATGAGAGATATTTGACGATCTTCATTTCGATGATGTTCATTTCGGTGACGAGATACACAACCCAAAAAACACATTTACTTGAAAATTCAATATGTCGACGAAAAAAAAGACATTCTTGTCGGCAAAAACCTTTAGGATATTCGATTGTTGATTAGATCTATCTATGGGCAAAATTTTACATTGAAAATTTGCTTTTTGATTTTTCAATATATGCCTCAAGCTGAATCAAAAATTTAGTAAAACAATCGTAACTCGACTCCAAAGAACCATGAAGACAACTTCTTTTTGAACTTTTACGAGTCTCGTCAAGCAATCGTAAAAGGTCCATATGAACTCAAACGGTAGATAGCAGTTCGGGTGGTTTCTTTTGTATGTATAATAAACAAGTAAGAAAAATAGATATTGTTATGAATCTGTAATGATTTTCTTGTCTCATATTGAGAATTTTTTCATTTTGTCATAGTATATTCAAAAGTTAAAATTTCAATATCTTTAAAAAAGTATCTTTTAACAATTGATTTTACAATTGGATATCATTCAAAATAATAATATAATTCTTATTGGATTAATATATAAGAAATTATGAAATTATTTTTCTTGTAAACGACAAAAAAAAAATATTTCGTAAATACGTCGTCTATTTTTACGAACCACTATGCAACGAGCAATAGGTATCCTTTTTTTGATATAAAAACGCCAATGGCGACGTGTTTCAATAGTTATATGAAGACGTTAAATGACAAACATTACTCTTACCTTTTTCTTCCTTTTGTTAACTGTCAGCAATAAAATATCTATTATTATTGAAATGTGTTGCTATAAAACTCTACACTCAATGACAATATTATTTCTTTATCAAAAAATACTTGAGCCATAAAAGAGGTTAAACATTTCCTATCGATGTAACTACATAAATATCACGAATGTAAATTAATAAGATAAACTTGTGTAAAATACCTTGGTAATAAATGCAAACGGTTGCCTAAGGGTCTTTTTTCCTACGACGTGTTATCGGCTTTCTGTCGATTTATTCGTCAATGAATCTCAACTGTCATTTGATGTATGCATTTTTTCATTATTCAGTGTCTATCAGTACTCGGTCAATGTGCGTTTTTATCACGCCTGACTGCGCGCGAAGCAATCGAGTATTAAAAGAACAAGTTTGCTTATATAGCTTCTTTTTTAGGCCTATATGTTGATCATAGAATAAAAAAAACAACGAGAATACGTTGAAACGACAAAGAGCGTCCAAGTAACCTTATTGTGTATACAATGTCAATAATCCATCATCATCAATTTGTTTCAAATCTTCTTCGAGATGGTGTATCTCATGCAATGATTAAGATTCTCGAAGGTAAATAAGAATTTTCTTTTGTTTTAATATGTATAATTATTATTATTTTAAATATATGTTATTTTTTCTTTTAATAGAACAACGTATTACTGATGAAGATTTACAAACAATCGATCGTGATGATATCGAACATTTATTTAAAAATGAATATGGTTTTACATTTCGTGATCGTAAACGATTTTGGAGTTCCATACAAAAATTTGTTTGTAGAAAACAAAAAAAAATTAATTTCAATTAGAAAATATCTGCTTCTTTTTTTAGCAACCAAAAAATACACATAATAACGTCGTTTATATAGAAGCCGAAGATGAATCTCCTGTATGAAAAATAAAATCATATTATATAAAAAAAAAAAAAAACTTATATTCTTTATTTTTATTTTTATTCAAAGGATATTTATGAAGTAAATAGTATTGAATCTCCAAATTATCATTTAAGAGAACAATATATTCCATTGCCATCATCATCAAATATTCCTTCATCGGTAAGGATATATAATCATTCCAATACTGATATTCAAAACCCTATATTTGGAGAAAACAGTTCTTCAAATAGTAATGATAGTCTCAGAAAAATAGCAGTATCATTACCTATTTATGATGCATTTATTGAAAATTCTTCACCAAAATCATCAGCAAATTTTGAATTTAAATATCCAGTTGAATTACCAAGATTTTCACAAAAAGTTACAAAAGCTTTTGAAGCAAATGATATTGAAACTGAATGGAAAACATTAATATATGAACTTGTTCAATGGATATTAAGTACAAAAGCGAATTCTCTAGCCAGACGTGAATGTCAAGCTATTGGAGAGACTTTATTTAAAAAATATCCATGTATTGGTAAAAATGGTTATCGACCATGGTCACGTTTATGTAAATGTATTACACGAAGTCTTCGTAAAGAAAGAACTCGAAAAGATTCATTACATACATAAATGTAATGAAAATAAAAGAAAAAAAACTTTTTTTGTGTATCTTGATAATTTCTTTGTTTATTACAATCATGAGGTAAATAAAACTTGTGAGAATATATGAGAAAAATATTTTTTCTGAATGTCATGTCTTTCCAAACGTCAAAAGCGCTTTCTTTCCTATACGTATGTGCACTCGATTGCCTTGAATAAGAGGAGAATCAAAGATACTATTCATTGTTTGTCATGTTAAGAGAGGCTTGATCAGCCAATCCAGAAAGTTGATTGTATCGTTCAACTCAACATGTTTTTTTTCAGCAATTAGTTATTCATATGAAATTGTTGTTACGAAAAACATTTTATACACCTGCGATGTAATTGGACGAAGTTATAGAAATTCAAACATGAGGTATCCTCGAATATCAAGAAAAAAGTATGCTTAGTGTTTCGTTTATATCTCCGCCGATTTTGGTCCATTTCATTTGAGCAACGTTTCATTCGAAAGAGCTCTTAAAACTAAATAAAAAAAACTTATTAGCACAGCCCTTTTGAGACTGAAATGTGAAATTCATATAAATTCTTTAGCCTTATTAAAATCATATAAAATACGTAAAATAAAAACTCTCGTAAACTATAGTTGTTTTTAAGAAAAGACTATTTGCCATGGAAAATTTCTGAAAAAGATTCTCGCTCTACACTCCTGTGAAAGAAATTTTTATTTTAAAAATTGACAGATAGTAACCATGTAAAAAAAAGTCCGGAAAAATCTGATTAAATTAGGATTATTATAGTGTAATTATAATCGATTTTTAATGGCAAAAAAATCTATTATTATTAGATTTTTTCGGTTTTTTATATGGGTACCTATTAATTTATTTTAATCTATGTTAATATATTATTATCCTGTAATCTATTTTAATGATACATATCAAAGAGAAGTGGTTTTTTCGAGATTCCAACATGAAATTCTCAATTTTCCAAGATTATTTGAATTCTTTGTGTTTACAAGCTGTAAAATTGTCGTTGAACACAAGTCATCCAAATATAATAAAGTCGAAACTCTTATATAAATTGTTTCAAGTTAAGATGGTGCAGTTTCATTAGGAATCGATTATAATCATGGGCTTCTGATCGATTATTAGTCGATTAGGAAACAATTTTTATCAAAAAATAATCTAAAAAAATCACAATACACTTAATTATATTGATTAATTCCGATTACAACCGATCAAAAAGTCTACGCAAACAACATCATTTCAATCGATTCTTGACAGACAATGTTATGATCTTTAACCAGTCTTCTTTGGTTTCCATCAATTTCTTTCTCAAAACTGAACCAATTATATTCGAAATTAAACACAATAATCGATGAAACTTTGATTCTTTTTTCATTATTTAACAGTACATGCAACTTATAATACATTTATGGAGATGGAAAAGTACATGATTTTAATCAATTCTAACTCAAGCTCTAATGCATTCTAATCTGATTTTTTTTCTCTAATTTTTTTTACACAAGTCGAGAATTTCATGTAGAACAGAATTTTCATGGTTTTTTTTTCAATCGATTATAATCGACTCGATTTTTAATCGATTATTTAGATTATTCTAAGGGAAATAAGATTTTAACAGATTATTTGCGAAAAAAACCGACTTTAATTGATTGTGACATGAAAAAATCTATTTTAATCTATTATTTCATTGAATTTAATCAAAATGTGGCGTATTTAATCGATTTTTTTGTGACTATTGGCGGAAAACCAATTTTAATCTGATTTTTTTGACCAGGCTTTTTTTGGACCTAAATACATAACTCGATGCAATTTTTTACGCTGACTTCAAATATGTCTTTATTTTTCTCTCAAAATGCTTCTGTAACAAAAAAATTGTGAAAAATCTTTGAAAACCAACGTTTTTAGGAAATTTGAATCTCAGTCCAGAAGCCTTTGCGCATCTTTCCACTAACTGAGTGTATGTCGCACATATAGAAGAATATTCTTTAAAAGTTTCGTTGATATCGAATTAGTGGAAAAAAGTGGTAGCCAACTTTACTAGAGATGTCTTTGCGAAAAAAACGCTTAGCATAAAAGGAATAATTATTTTTTTCAGAATAAAAAGTCAGAAAACGAAAACTTTCTCAAAAATCGATAGAGCTGAAGTCTTTATTTTAGGCCATATATGATTTTGTGGTTAACTCTTTTTTATTTTTTCTCATTCGTTGAAGTATTTTAGAAATATAAGCAAAGTGAAGGCCTACGTACATCTTTTTTTACCAAAATTTTCACAAATACTGAATTCCAGTAATGCGATCATATCTTCACAATGAAAAGTTGCCATAAGATCAAACTTTCACACACAACTGCGTCTTAATCTGGACTACTATTACTACAAATTTGAAGAGGAATGGCTTTGTCCGAAAAGAAATATGCTCGTGTCAAGGTCAAAAGGATACTGATGGTTATTCATTTTTCGTTTGAAAAAAGAAAAAAGTTCTCTCATTTAGGATCAATATTTGTCGAATTGAGACTAGGTTTGAAGTCTTTATGAGTATCAATAGATAGACCAATATATTCAACTACTCGAACAATGAATTCGAACTTGAAATTCTTATCGAATACTTTATCGTTCGTTTCTCTTAAGAATGGATATATTTGTAATAGTTATTCCTGTCGATTAAAACCTGATTATAGAGCAACTATCTATTGTTTACCATTTTAGATACAATTTGTGTATTTGACAGAATTAAGTGTTTCACATTGTAATTGTTGCTAGACTGTGTGGAACTATATTGACATTTTTACACGATTCTGCAAATACATATGTGATACGTGTCAAAGTCTATGTTTACTACAGGGTCAACAAAATTATAATATTATTGACCCAGGTTGTGTTCTTATAGCAGTTGTTGGTACAATAGTGGTAACAAAAGTGCTTGCAAGTAATTACGAGCGTAGGTGGATGTGGGAGTGAGGATTTGGGTATCGTTTTTCTCGATAAGTAACCACACGGACAATGACACTCATACCCTCACAACCATATGAAGACAAAGAATAAAAACACAGGAAGGAACGAGAGAAATGTAGAATGCACTTTAATGTTCTAGAAGAACACTGTGTTATTTTTACATAACGATAGAACTGAAAAGAAGAACAAAAGTAAAATAAGAAAAGACTTATCCATGATACTGTCATTGAAATATGAATGTAGTACTCAAATCAACTGCGCTTATCATCTATCTTTTTTTGTACGGATCTTGCAGGTACTAATTATGGCACTAGTCAAATGTACAGAGTTTCTTACACTGTCAGCTTCTTTACATGATTTCATCAAAATGATAATAGAACTGTCAGAAACCGTTGACATTAGGTTTTCATCGCACGCCATTTTTGTTCTTTCTGACTTGTCTGCAGCTGTATCTAATATAGAGTATGAAAGATAATAATATATCACAACGATCAAAACTTAAATTTTCCTTATAGGACTTTTTATCTATCATCATCTACATGGATATGATTCGTTTTGTATCTTAACAACTTAACAGAATACACAAAAAGAAAAGGATAATTTACTCATATAAATTCAAAATATACTAGGCCTTTCAAATGTAATTTTGATCATTGAATAGTTGCTCTATGATTAGGTTTCAATCGACTGGAGTAACTATTACAAATATATTCATTCTTAACAGAAACAAAGAATAAAGTATTTTATAAGAATTTCAAGTTCGAATTCATTGTTCGAGTAGTTGAATATATTGGTCTATCTATTGATGATTATAAAGACTTGAAATCTAGTCTTATTTGACGAATATCAATCTCAAATGAGAGAAGTTTTTTTCTTTTTTCAAACGAAAAATGAATAATTATCAGTACCCTTCTGATCTTGACATGGATATATCTCCCTACCGACAAAACCCTTCTTGTTCAAATTTTATAGTAATAGTAGTCCGGATTGAGACGTAGTTTTCGTGAAAGTTTGATCTTGCAACAACTTTCCATTGTGGAGATATGATCACATTACTGAAAAATAGTGCAATGAATGCAAGAAAATATTCAAACAAGGATAAAAATGTAGAACATTCGACATTCTATCCAACTGTATATGACGCAATTTTTCTCATACCTTAAAAAGTGATTACCCTTTTGAAAATCATACCAAATAATATTTTTTCTTATTTTTGCGTCATTCTCATACAGACATATTTTCACTGTAACTCCTCTTCAATAAGGCATATCCAGCTGAAAATTTTACAGTGAACGTTTCTCACTTACTTCTACTAACAGCCCAAATTTCATTGAATTTAGAGGACTTTTTCTAAAACAATGGTGTCCTTTGAGGCATTTATCATTATGAGAGAAAAAATGCAAGTAGACTTCGGCATACAAACGTCAGACATAGACTGTATTCGAAATGTTTTTCAATACTTGTGCGAAATCAGTACAATAATAGCGAATGATCAGAAAGTTTTTAGACAAGATGTTTGCTCACTTTTGACCCGTTAGAAAGTATTTTCGACGAGTCAAAAGCTATGTATTAAGACCAGAAGTTTGTACTCTTTTTCAAATATGGATTTAGAAATTTTATCTCAGTTTTTGTTCGAGAGTAGTGAAATAATCTTTAAAAAAGCCAAGCAAATTAGTTTGAATGGAGAATTTATCCGAACATGCCTGTGTCAGAGGTCGAATCGAACCGAGTTTTTTTAGATCGAGTTCGGTTCGGTTCGGATTCGCTTTTGGAAAATAGGTTCGAGTTCGGTTTGGTTCGGTTCGGTTCGACTTCATTTTCAAAAAGTCTATTCGAGTTCGGTTCGGTTCGGTTCGGTTCGTTTTTGACCTCTGCTTTGTATGTTCACTATTGCCATGCGAAACTAAAAGTTAAGATCTTTATTTATATGTCAGCTTGAAGACTAGAAGCTACCCTACAAAATATACTATTTGGAGCTGTTTTTTATCTTTCAACAAAGTACCTTAATTTTCGTTTTTCTAAATACTCATTTTTGAAAAATTGACAACCGTTTTATGTTA